ATAATTCTCGAAGCACGCCTTTGAGTTGTTATTCACTCAACCTTTCGAATCTTTCAAATTCAATCATTCTCAAACGTTCTCCTAAGTCGAATGCTCGTCCGCATTTGCAACCCACTTTTTCCTTCACAATGCCTCGTGGTTTCGATATTAGGAGCACCCTCAGGGACTAATATCGTTTCTCACAATCCTAATCCTTGACACGTCGTCAAGTCGGTTTCATTTTCAAACAAATCCCCGATACATCGTCGAGCTACTTCAAAACAACTTCCTTTTGGTCGCGCGCGCCATTCTTCGATTCGATCCTTTCACAAACATTCCCGAAACTTACAAAAGAGGGATATTCTCAGAATCAAGCATTCTTTGAATATTTGAATGAGTAACTCTTGAGGCGCGCCCTTGAGTTGTTATTAGTTTGTTCTTTCGATTTCAAAACATCCAACTCTTTATCTTCAATTTATTCGGTCAATTCCCGAAAGAACTGAGTTCTTGGAGTCTCGCATTCCTTGAATTCTTGAGTGACAAGCTCTTAAGACGCGCTCTTGGGTTGCTTGTCAGTCACCCTTTCGTCTCAAACTCAAACTTCAACCCATTCAAACCTCACCTTTTCGTGGTTGTTACCATGAACTACGACTGCTTTGATTCTTTATTCATTCTTGAATATAAGATACGTAGGCACAAGATTGCGATGATCTTGGCGAGCACATTTCCCATTTTCTCCCCTATTCCACACTTCTACCCATCTTCCGTTTTCCCCCCACCTTTCCCGTAGTCGAACTACGACGCTCTGATTTCTCATTCTCGTCCGAATGAGCATACGTAGGCACAAGGGCCCCAATCCTTGGCGAGCACCCTATCATCTAACCACCCATCTCTCCTATACGTCTTTAACTTTTTACCCTACCAATTCTACCTTTAACAACAAAAAGAGAAACAAGTAAACCTAAACAACACTCCCCACCATTACCTTAAGAGGTTCCCGTCGAGTACGACGGACGTGAGGGGTGCTAATACCTTCCCCTCACGTAACCGACTCCCGAACCCGGAACATGGTTGCGACAGCCCTGTTCCTATCCTTTCGTTTTTAAGAGGTTTTCTCGATATTTTCCTCTCCCGTTTATTCGGGAAAAATAAAGTTCGGTGGCGACTCTGTCGAACCTCATTTCCGCGCCTTTCGCGCAAGGGTCGTATGTTCGAATGGAATTTTCGAGGTGCGACACTTGCCGAGTAAACTTAGGACTAACCGTTAGCTCTTTTAGGTCACTCTATCCCTTAGCAATATATTTCAAACAGATAATAAAATAAAAAAGCATACAATAAACAAAAGGTTCTTGTAGAGTACTACAGAAGTTTAGGGTGCTAGTACCTTCCCTAAGCTTAACCAACCCCTTACTACAGAAGTTCGTGAAGACAATGCAGGGAGAGATCTAGAATGCATGAAGAACTTTACTCTTGTCGTAATTGAATATTGTTCTTTTTGCAACATAATTGAATGAATGATTCACTTAGGACTTAAAACCCACAAATTGTGAGGAAATCTCCATTGTACAAATAAATGCTGGATTCTAATAAACTGTGTTGATTCATTTGATTCATGCTTTGTCTTTTATTATTGTGAATTTGTGGAAGCAATTAAAAATGATCAAGACACTTGTTTTCTTTCGAGCACAACCAGTTCCAAATACAACCTACCCGTGAGCAGAGAGTATTCGTGAACCTCTTTGAGCTTAAACAGTTGAATCTCAGCTTGAAGTAAGGCGAGACTTCAAAATCTTTTTTTCTTGAAACCCTGAAAATTTTTGTTAATTGTTCTTTTGCCGTAAAAAGTCAAAAGCATTCACTTATGAGGTGAGTAAAAGATAAGTTGGGGAGAACGAAAATGAAAATCGGTAGGTTACCACAACTCTGGAATAACCAAGCAAGCATTGAAAAAAAAAGAGAAACATTTATTTTGTGAATATGGTGTGAAAAAGAAGAAAATAAAAAAAAGAGAATGGAAATGAATGCTTGCTTAGAAGAAAAATAGTGGAAAACAAATTGAGTTGTGAAATAAGAGTTGTGAAGGTTTCAAATGAGAAACAAGTAGAACGGAGTTGAGATGTGTGAATAGTTGTACAGTGAATGTCTCTTTTGCGTCGGCAATTTCGTTTTCAATGGCCTTAGATATGTTCCTTGTTTGTAAACCTGACCAAGCTACAACCGGAAAAGACCTTAGTGATCTTCGTGCTTCCGCATTTTCATTTATAATTGTTAGACATTGTATGAATTGAATTGATTTTTGCATTGTTTGTTGGAGAGTGAAATTGTCCCTGCGGTTGCAAACGCGTAATTTCTTCAATCCTTATTCGAAGAGGAGAGATAGGGTGATTCATTCAGGATAACATTGTTGTGGATTGATACATGTTTTGCATTGCTATAAGGCTTTAGTTCTTGTGTATTGTGTTATTCTAACCATTGGGAACTTGTGTCTGGTTGATTCTCTTGTGTTTGAGCCATTTGATCCGATTTCGGAGAAATCTTTTTCTTTAAGCAAATCCTCTTGTTCTTCAAGAGGCATACTTTGCTTGAGGGCAAGTAAGAATCTATTTGGTGAGAGTTGTTAGATGTCCAATTTTACTTATTTGAGCTATTAGATATGGGCATCTTTCACTCCTTTTTGTCGAGAAAGTGTTTAAAATCGCCCTTGCTTTTGTTGATTCGCAATATTATGTGAAATGATCTTGGTACCTATAATTTGTATGTTATTGTGCAGTAATTAGGCATGAAAGAGTAGAAATTGAAGACACAAGAAAGATGGCAAAGGAATCAAGAAAGAAAGCAAAAAAAAATAAGCTCGCTAGGCGAAGCACTGACGAGCAAGGTAGCGAAGTGTTCGCTAGGCAAGCACTCAGCGAGCTGCCAACGAACACTCCCAGACTTGGACAGAACCAAAAAGATCAAATTTTGTTGTGGCGAGGGAGGTAGCGAAGTGCTCGCTAGACGAAGCTCCAGCGAGCAAGTAGCGAACACTTCTAGTGGCAAAAGGACCAAAATTCGTTGTAGCGAGTGAAGCAGCGAAGGCTTCGCCTAGCGAACATCTGCAAATTCATCTGGTTTGATTCCTCAGGAACAGGCTCTTCTGGTGTAACATTTTGGGGCTCGCTAGGCGAACCTTCTACTCGCCTAGCGAGTATGACAGCTCAGTAACATTTCCTATAAGTAGCATGGGCTACTTTTTGTAAAAACATCTTTTTGTTTTGTTTTTGCTTCAGAAGTGATTTTTGTGCCCTAGAAACCCATTCTCTCATTATTCATCATCTCTTGACAATATTTTCCAAAAAGAAGGTGGATTCTCATCCAATCTCGATTCTTTGACTCGGATGTTGATCAAGCTTCTCCCGAAACTTATTGTGCAAGCTATCATGGAAATGAGTGGCTAAATCCCTCTTGTGTCAAGGTTAGATGTAGATGGTCATAAGTTGTGTGTTTATGGGTTGATATTCATTTGTAAACTCTTTGATGATGAATGTATGGTGAAAACCTTGTTTTATTGATAACTCTTTATGTTGGTTTATTATTGAAAGGTGTTTTCCAACTTTTTACCTAGGTTTTCATCCATCTATGTTCTTGAGCTAGAGATAGTTTTGAATGTGTTTGTTCACTAAAATGTCAAACCTAAAAGTTGTCATTTTGATAGATTGTGTGAGAAATCAACAATGGATCAAAATGGGAAAAGCCACAATGTGTGTTAGAAATAATCACATTGGGAGGATATTGTGAATGTGCTTATCATCTAATGGAGTTTATGAGTTTTGTTTGATCGAACATATGCATGCAAAGTGATCGTCGAACCCTAACTTTGACAATCTTTCTCAAATCGTAAAACCAAAAATTTTACCGCAATTTCTTACGTTTTATGCAAGCTACCGTAACCAAAAATCAAAACCCCCTTGTTACTATAAGTTAAGAACTTAGCAACTGTCGAACGACGGTAATATCACATAATCCCTGAGGACGATAACAAATCCCGATACTCTATCCCTGTTCCAACAAATATGAAAGATTAGAGAGATGAAAAAATTATTACGTGTGAGTTCTTGATATTTCTTCTTGCAGTTGAATCAACAGATTTGGAAGAAGTGTTTTTGAAGAAGTCAAATCTGAAAGATGAAGCATAGTATCAGAGACAGAAGCGTTGTTTGTATTATGGTGAATCAAAATCTCCTTCTTTTTAACATGGGAGAAAGCGCAACGGCGGGAGGTTTTAAGGTTTGATGGAGAAGGGGAGAAAAGAAAGAAGACGGAAGAGAGAGACAAAATTGTATTATTTGAGAAATGATAAAATAGTGTATTAGTGGCTAATGTATTTGTTTCGGAATGTAGAGAGTTTTATTGAAAAGAATGTGAGAATAAATGGAATGTAAAAGGAAGAAGAAAAGATGTTGTCTTGATACAAATGGGATGAGACAAAAAAATATTTATTGGAAACACGCATAAAAAATAACATGTCTACTCTATAGAATAAAACTTTGAATTTAATAATTAGGAGTGTCAAATTATAATTAAAAACACAATATTAGTGTTTTAATTAGGTTTGAAAAGGTTATTAAAAGAATTTCATATGTATTTTCAATTCTTATATTAAAATTAGATTGGTATTGTTATTCGCTCCACACAATTTTTTTTATGTATTGAAAACAATACGAAAGAGTCACATTACTGCTAAATTGGATATGATATAGACACCACACTACAAATGGAAAAGATTAATAAGGCAAAAACTAATTTTAACCATCAAAATACAATTTTATTCGTATACATAACAATTAGGTCTCAAACTCAGACTTGATCATAACCAAATTACATTGGCTTAATTTCACACATCAAATTACATTCATTTTTATTTTAAATATACTTTTTATTAGTTTTATTTTTTGCTACAGTTTTATACTTTAACGTAGCTAATTTATTCAAACTTTCCAGCAATCACCACACACATTATATTGGACTTTGAGTTGCAAAGTTCAATCCTCAAACTCCAATTTATTCTTATTAGTGCAGCAGCTTCTCAATTGCAGTACTGCAAAACAAAGTTTCACAACGAATCAAATTGACCGCAATGTACATGAGAAAAATATATACCATAAAAAGTAGAATTATTGATAATTAAAGAAAAATAAATACAATCTTCAAATTTTTGCATCAATACTAACACATACTTTAAGAATTAAAAAAAATTTATTCTCTAATTTTTTGTAGCTAATAATGTATATACTTGCCTTCCTGTGGCGACGGCTTTCATTGTCGCTGTCACACTCATCACTGCTAGTGCCGCTGTCACTGCTGTGACCTGATATGCCATCCTTCATCCTCTGGAACATGTTTCTCCTCTCTTTCCTGTTTCTCCCTTGGCATTTTGCCGCAGTGGTGCCGGTAACAATGGTGGTGCCAGTAGCGGCATGATTGTGATTACGATTGTGACTGGTTCGGTTGCATGTGTTACTGTGATTTTTGGCAACATATCCTGGTTGATAAAGCACATCCGTCTCGCTATAGTATTCGGTTTTGGTTTGTGTTCCATCATTGTGGTGTCCTTTGTAGAAGTCAGTTAGCTTATGTCCTATTGAGCTATGTTGCTGCTGCTGGTAGTTGTTTTTGTGCTGGCAGCTTTGTTCACAGGTTTTGTAGCACTGAGCAGAGGCCATTGCAGCAAAACTGTGTGTTGTTTGGTTTTGTAGTGATGTCTGTTAGCTTGTTGCTTGTGCTTTGAAATGTTGAAACTGAGTTCACATATATATATATATAGGAACTAATAAGGTTTTGAATATTGATTAACTGCTACATAACCACTCAATAAACAATTTTGGAATCAATTTTCTTTTCTTCGTGGGTTGAATAATATGGTGTATTATATTATTGTATTGTATAGTGTCATCATCTTTTTTATCATTTTTCCCACTGAATATATACCAAATTAATTTCCTATTTCCTATCATCATTTTGAGAATCATATGTATACAGCCTAATTGGTAAAGGTCAGTCGAAACTCCCATGCTACTTCAGCTGCAAGATCAGCCAAAGCCCTGTATTCTGATTCTGTGCTTGATCGTGACATTACTTTTTGTTTTCTTGAGGACCAAGAAACTAGTGTTTCACCAAGAAATACAATTGGCCTGCCATGGATTTTCTATCATCAGTACTAATTGCCCAATCTGCATCAGAAAACCCTATTATGTCAAGGTCATTAGAAGGTTTTATGTGCAAACACAGATCTATCGTGCCTTGAAGATATCTCAATATTCTTTTTATCCCTTGCCAGTGATCCATGGTAGGTGAACTCATGTATTGACTCAATTTGTTGACAGCAAATGCAATGTCAGGTCTTGTGTTAGTCAGGTATTGTAGTGCACCTATTGCTTGTCTGTACAAAGTAGGATTAGACAATGGTTCCCCCTCAGCAGTGAATTGTCTACCGGCTACCATTGGTGTTGGACAAGCTGATGTTTTCTCCATGTTGAACTTCCTAAGCATATCCCTTATGTACTTTGTTTGTTTTAGATACATTCCACTATCATTTCTGTGAACTTCAATACCCAGAAAATAATGTATGTGTCCTAAATCTTTCAGCGAGAAGGCAACATTAAGTTGATTGATGAATGTCTCCAAGAACTTGTTGTTGCTACTTGTTATTATTATGTCATCAACATAAATAAGGAGAAATGTGATATGGTTTGTACCTCTAAATGTGATATGGTTTGTACCTCTAAGAGTGATATGGTTACCCCCATTTTAGTTGAGTGTTTCTTAGGCTGTCAAACCATGCTCTTGGAGCCTGCTTTAGTCCATAGATGGCTTTGGACAATTTGCATATGTGATTAGGTTTGGTTGAGTCTATGTATCCCTCAGGTTGATACATAAACACAGTTTCCTTGAGACTTCCATTTAAGAATGTGTTATTTATGTCCAATTGCCTAACTTCCCAATTGAGATGTACAACAATAGCCAAGATGATTCTTACTGAGCTGGATTTGACCACTGGGCTGAATGTTTCATCAAAGTCTAGGCCTGCTGTTTGCTGAAACCCTTTTGCAACTAATCTTGCTTTCCTCCTTTCAATTGAGCCATCTACTTTGTACTTAGTCTTGAAGATCCATTTTGAGTCTATGATGTTTTCTTGACCCTGAAATGGAACTAATGCCCAAGTCTGATTGGACATTAGGGCCTTGAATTCTACATCCATAGTTGCTCTCCATTTTGGTTTTATTAGTGCCTCTTTGACATTTTCTGGTTCTTTATCATCTCTATGTTCCTCTGCCAGTCCTATATAAGGCTGCTTAGGCTTGTAAATCCCAGCTTTACTTCTGGTGCGCATCCAATGAGTGTTGGTGTTGTCTTGATGAGTTTGTTGATTAATCTCGGGTGCAGTTTGATTGTTGCTCTCGACTGGTTCTGTTGAGGTTGAATCATCTGCTTCTCTTTCTCTTGATGTGTTGCTATCTGCATTCGCAAAGGACTCGCTGAGATCTGGTTGAATTTCACCTGTATCACTATCAACTGGACTATCAATTGAGTTTTCTTCATGTTGGTTTTCCGCCAAGTTGTCGGGTTCAGCTGTGTTGTTTGTAGTGGTACCTGCAGGACAATTAGGCAACATAATAGATGTATTTTCAGTCAGTTTCTTTAATGGATTTCTTATGTCAATGAAACCATCAAGGAAGGGAAAGTGATTCTCATTGAAGATCACATGTCTTGAGACAAAAATTCTCCCATGAGAGTTGATGCACTTGTAGCCTTTGTGTGAGTTGTTGTAACCGATAAATACACACCTAGTTGTATGGAATTGAAACTTGTGTTAATTGTATGGTTTAAGACAAGGGTAGCAGGCACAACCAAATGGTTTCAAGTCCTCATAGTTGGGTTCTTTCTTGAAAGTTAAGGAGTATGGACTGTTATTTGGATTTATTGATGATGGCAATCTATTGACTAGGTAGACAGCAATGGAGAAGGCTTCCCACCAGTAATGTAGGGGCATTTTGGCATGTGCTAGAAGTGTTAGTCCTAGTTCAGCAATATGTCTATGCTTTCTTTCAGCCCTGCCATTTTGTTGAGAGGTGTAGGGACAAGACATTCTGCATAGAATTCCTGATTCGGTGGCAATTTTTTGAACTGGTTTGTATTCACCACCTCCATCACATTGAATGATTTTTATTTTCTTGTTAAATTGATTTTCAACCATAGCTTTGAACTGGTTGAAGGCATAAATTGTTTCTGATTTTTGTTTCAAGGGAAAAATCCATGTGAATCTACTAAAATCATCAATAAAGTGAACATAATATTTAAACCCAGATGAGGACAGAATTGGAGCAGGACCCCATACATCGGTATGAATTAAATCTAAAATTTCACTAGCATGAGAGGAAGAAGATTTGAAAGGTAACAAGTGTGATTTGCCAAATTGACAAGCTTCACAGAATGTAAAATTGTCACTAGATGATATCTTCGCATTGCAGTCCTTCAACACCTTTTCCAAAACTTTATTATTTGGATGTCCAAGCTTTCTATGCCAGTTTTCCTTAACAGACATGTAGACACACGAGTCTTTATTGATTTGGGGGCTGGCATCAGAAAGTTGGTATAAGCCATTTTTAAGTTTCCCCTTTAAAAGTGTCTTCCCTGTTAGTTTGTCCTTCACAAAACAATATTTTGCATCAAATTCAACAAGTATATGTTGTCGGCAGTTAACTTAGATATACTCAATAAATTTTTGGTGATTTCTGGCACATACAACACATCATGCATGTTGAGGTTACTCAATTTGGTTGAACCTGAGGCAATTATTTTCAATTTATCTCCATTACCAACTAACAAAAAATTCTTACCATTGCTTTCAATGAGGTCTTGGATTTGCCAGTTTGGTGTGCTACGTGATTGCTAGCTTCACTGTCAAAATACCAGTCATAGTCATGACCATGATATGGTGAGGCTATGAAGGCACTATGTTTTCCTTGTTTCTCACCCTCAGCATAGTTATTTTTTCCTGTATAGGACTTACCAAAATGATAATAACATTGTACTGCAGTATGACCGATTCTTCCGCATACCTGGCACGTTGGTTTTGACATCCTTCCTCTTCCTCTGCCACCTCTCATGCCTCTGAAGTTAGATCCTCTCCAATTGCCTCGTGATCCAAATCTGTGGCTTCCCGTATCATTTTTACTAGCAAAGTTTGCATATGCATTCAAGTTGATACTGTTGAAGCTGTTGAGCTGATCCAATCTACTTTCAAAGCCTAGTAATTGGGCTTGCAAGTCAACCCAACTTAAGTTGATCTGGTTGGACAATTTGACTATTACTGGATTGTATTCAGAATCCAACCTATTCAATGTCTGAATCATCAGGTCAGAACTGGAAATGGGTGATCCTGCCAGTTTTAATTTGTCAGCAAGATTCTTCATCTTAGCAAGGTATTGCTCCATCTTCATCTCTCCTTTGCGTGCGTTGTGAAATTCTGACTTCAGGTAAATGACTCTTGACCTGGTGTGTGCACCTGCAAGGCTTTGAGCTTCATCCCAAAGTTGCTTGGAGGTTTCACAATGTAGCAGCTGAGTTGCAATATCAACTGCCATGGAATTTATCGGCCATCCTAAGAGGGCTTGATCATGAGCTTGCCAATCCTCATAGTTAGGATTGATTTTCTTAGTTGTGTCATCTGAGGTGACAAATTGTTCTGGACATTCTTTTTACCTAGCATATAGCCATTGAGTTTGCAGCCTCTAATCAATGGTAAGACCAATGATTTCCATAGTGGATAGTTATCTCTGTCCAACTTGACAGAAACTGTTTGAGGAAGGTCGTTTTTCTGGTTTGAGTTTGCAACGGATGACATGATTGGTTTGGCTGGATCGAGAGCCTTCAGGCTTAAGAGCTCTTGATACCAAGAAAGAAATTGTTACTGTTTTTCGCTGTCATATTACATAGATTAGGTATGCTTTAATACACGTAGAGATATGAAACCATGATCCTAGAATCATGCTAATGGTAATTACAATAATTGCTATAATAATGCAGAATGATATGCAGTAAATATATTGATATGTGATTGCTATAATTAAGGATCACCATATCATAAAAATTAAGTTATAAGCATTAATAATTAATTATGAGATTCTGACTTTTCTCTAACTAGATGAACTTTTGCTATTTCTCAAAATCACTTTGGAGAAAAATATTCAAAAGATATAGTTTTGCTACGATCGAGATGTTCAAGTCTCATTCCAACAATTATAAAATTTGAAAAGAAAGATTTGTGAAAGTTAGGGGGTGAGATGACGCCTCTATGGTGACAACTAAGACAAATGGCGTGCCTCGCTTCACTCTGACTTGGATAGAGAATCTTGTGGCGATTACTAGTTTTAACTTTGACTACTTTACTCTACTGAGAGAGAGGTGGATCAATTATTGGATGAATTTAAAGTTATGAATTCTTGTACTATGATTGTATAAGACCAGAGAATGAACAACAAAATAGATAAACACGTGCATAAGAGAATGGACAATAAGATAGATAAACACGTGCATAAGTTTAAGATCATAGTGAACATATGTTTGTTTATTTGCCTAATTATTTAATAATTTTGTTTTCCTTTTTGCAGAGAAAATGTTGTCCATCCCATTAGTTGGAAGGACATCTCACAATGCCAGAAAA